GCTAAATGCATCTTAAAGAATTCATTACATTTTCCCAGAAATCTACAGCTGCTTAAATTTAGTGTAACTGGTGTGTCTACAAAGTAAGCAAAGTCATTTTTAAAGTTTATTTTCTCTAAACTACAATAGTCCATAAAGCTGTTTTTATTTACTTCTTTTTAAATCTGCGACAAAATGTGTTACTAAGACAGAAAATGCCTATTTATTAACTGTGTAATAAACATTTATTTCTGTAATCACATGTTGTTGCTTGTTTGTGTTTAGTTTTTATTATAATATGATCAGTGATTATTCTAGGAACAATATATGGGGGGATGGGGGTGGCACAAAGGTACACAATCAAAACTGGTGGGGCACTAATAATTTTCCACCACTTTATGATACCACTGAAAAAATGATATAACATTTTAATTATTTTAATAATATATGTAATAAATAATACTTTTTATTTATGGATTTTATTGCCCAGGCAGAAATACTAAAGGTAAACTTCTTGGAGAAGAAATACCTTACTGCAGATGTATATGAGGCCATCACATAGGTTATTGATAAGAATAGGGATGCATTATTTATTAGGAGAGAGAACTGTTCCCTTGTCACATGTTCAGCCCATTATTTTAGATCACTCTGGGTGCAGTAGGATATAAAAATGGCCTTTAAGAAGAATTGGCACATTCTGTTGCAAGATGTATCCCTTAAGGATATTGTCCCACCGTGTTTCAATTTATTTTTAGAGGTGCAAAAAAGTTTGCTTTTAATAATACCGGTTATATATTCCTAACTTTTTTTAAGCACTGACAAGGCACCTACCACGCATTTAAAGAAAGACTGGTGCTTAAAAAAAAATACAGTAAGGGAGTTCAAACATGGGGATATTAGACTTACAATTATGGACTTTATCACCTGCCATTCCACTAATGTAATGTGTACCTTAGTTTGCCCTTGTAAGCGTGTTGTAGGGTGAACTACTCAAACACTCCACATTCGTGTTGAAGAACACATCAGGAATAGAGTTGAGCGGACACCTGGATGTTCGGGTTCGGCCAAACTTTGAAAAAAAAGTCCGGGTTGGGGATCTGAACTTTTGGCTACAAAAATGCCTCTAAAAAACTACTGTAAAGAGCTAGAGAGCTGCAAAAGCAAGTAAAATGGGGGTAAGAGTAGGACAAGTGACCTGCAAACAAATGTGGATAGGGAAATCACTTAAAATAACATAAAAATTAAAAATACAGCTGAGCCATAAAATAGCACTAGATGGAATCTTTGATTTTAGCTTTGGAAGAATATAAATCAAAAAGCATAGCTGTCAGGAGGATCAACAGAATTATCCATTTGAGAGAGGGTTGGAGTTCAGGGTATTCTCTTTCATTGTTCAAACTGAGCTCAACTCCTGATGCATGGAGAAAAGGCCTTCACAAGCCTCTGCTATTGTGTACATTTTTTAAACTAAGTGACCCATAGGTTGAGGAGGCGGTGACCATGGCGGTGTAGGTAGAAGCAGCGGTGGAGGAGGAGGATGAGGTAGCCAATACTGTTTTTTATGTTTTTTTTATATTTTATTGTGGTAACCCACAAAATATTGGGACATACAACAAAAGAAACATTTGCAGCCTGCGGTGCATTTCTTGCAGTCCTGATGCATGGAGAAATGCTCAACTCCTGATGCATGGAGAAAAGGCCTTCACAAGTCTCTGCTAATGTGTACCTAGTTTATACTAAGTGACCCATAGGTTGAGGAGGCGATGACCGTGGCGGTGGAGGAGGAGGATGGGGTAGCTGTTTATATATATATATATATATATATATATCCATCTAAAATAGGCAGGAGCACTCACTTGTTAAAAGTAAAAAATTTATTAGAACATCTTTAAAAAAGATCAGCGTTTCAGTCCTGCATAGAGGACTTTCATCAGGATCATCCATATCAACTTTTGATGCCAGTTTCTGTGCCTACCATTGTGACCACGGGTAATGGGGAATCAGGGTTCCATTCCATACAGAAACGGCTACCACATGCAAGTAGGCAGCAGGTGCGCAAATGACCCACTCCCGATGCGGGAAGGTAGTGACGACAAATAACAATACAGGACTCTTTAGAAGCCCTGTAATTGTAATGAGTCCACTTGAAATCCTTTAACTCTGATCAATTGGAGGGAAGTCTGGTGCAGAGCCACTGACCCATGCGTGCTGCAGCTGAAACTCCACTATCGCCTGCTGCTGCTCGCACAGTCTCATGAGGCGGTGAGCGAGAAGGCTGAAGTTACGCTGCAGCGCAGACAGGCGAGCAGCAGCAGGGTGACAACGCCAAAAGCGCGCACAGCTGCTACAGTGAAAGTCTGGTGCAGAGCCACTGACCCGTGCCTACTGCAGCTGAAACTCCACTATTACCTGCTGCTGCTCACACAGTCTCATGAGGCAGTGAGCAGGAAGGCTGAAGTTACGCTGCAGCACAGACAGGCGAGCAGCAGCAGGGTGACAACGCCAAAAGCACGCACAGCCGCTACAGTGAATGTCCTGTTCAAAGTTGTGGATCAGTCTGGTGATGGCTTCTGGTATCAAGTACTCTTTTTACTGAAGCTGCATCAGGGTCCTGGTATGTGGCCACACAAACGCTGGTGCTCAACACCAGGGGGCGTGCGGTTACCCTGCACCAGACCCTACTAATCCATTTCACACTGTGACTCCTAACTTCAACATCAGGCATACTGGGTCTCGGTCATCCGACCGCCGCCCAGACAGTGTCTGGGTCCTGGTCACCGGACTGCCTACCTCACTGTGAAACTACGAATGGGTTAAATCTGGTACGAACCCGAACTTTGCAGTTCGGGTTCACTCAAATCTATCATGGATCCTTT